CCTATATAAATAAGAATAAATGCATACATGCAATATTTTTTTCTGAATATATTCCAAAACAAGAAAATAGAAATGCTAGGCCTTCTAAATTCAGCTCTCAAAAGTATATATTATAATCCCACACATTTAAAAGCAAAACAAATGAATTAACTTCTTAAATGTCTAAAACTTCTGTACCTTTATATCATTAATAATCTCTATCCTTTCAGAACTCTTCAAAGTTTAACATTCTGTGAACTGTTTTAGAAAAGAGCTGTTTTTAAGATGCAAGCTAAACTCCTAAAAGGTGCCAGATATCAACAAAAGATTTACAGCCAGTAAAGGCTGCAAGGGCATCTTGCATCATGCTTGTTTCAAGTGTTCTTTTCTCTTTTCCTTTGAGGTATCAAAACCAAGCTACTTGGTCTCACCCATCCCCCTGCATTCCGAAACCAACAGATTTTGTTTATACAGAGGTGTCTGTTTAAATACAATAAGAAAGGATCTACAGCTAAGGCTTAAAAAGAAAACAAGCCATGTATTAGCAGTGTGGGGTTTTTACTTATTTGTGTACTTTTGATGAGTTGAACTGCTTTGAAAGCAAGGGTTTCTGCTTTCAGAATCCTTGTTTATATATTTCCTTCCTGAGAAAAAGACATAAATCTGTAAGATCGATCAAGATTGCCTTAAAGTAAAGCATTAAGGAAATAAGGATTACACATTATTCTTTCAATTTGTTGTGGGTGGGTGCAAACATTTCTTCCAGAAAGATGGGTAAAGATGGGATTTTTGTAGCTGCAGCAGGTAAGAGTCACCTTTAGTATATTTGAAATAAAGCTGATAATAATAGTAATATGAACTGTCTTTTTTTAAAAAGTAGTTTTGCCATAATATGTAAAGATTAAAAGGAAAAAAGTTAAACAAGTCCATTATTTGTGCAGTTACAGTGTGCACCTAAGGTAATACAGTACATTCTTACAGAAAATAAAATGACTCTAAAAATCCTATTAAAAAATCTGTGGTGGAAAACAATACAACATTACATTATAATAGGCAATTTGGTTGAACAGCTTTAGGTGTTAGATGGTTAAAATGGTCCACCGATATAAACTTTGGGTAAACTCTGAATGTATGCAACTTCGATTTGATTTTACTTAGTTATTTTTTACTACAGGGAATCTGTTTTGTATGAAGCTATTAGTTTGTCTGGGTTTAAAGGGAGCAGTTCACAGTATTTGTGTTTGTGATTCACAATCAAGTGGGGCGCTCCCCACATTAGCAGGAAAATTTAAGACCAAATTCAACTTCAATCCCAGTGACCCCCAGAAGTCGGGGTTGACAGGATATGGCCCTGAAAAGACTTGCAGTGTTCTGAGAGAGCTACAGAACGTAATCTCTGTCTCTGCTGGTTTGTTAGTGTGGATGATGGATTACAGAGCAGCACACCAGACCGAGGTCTCACCATCTCTGTTGCCTGCACATGCACCTTCACTCACCCCAAACCAATTCAAACACACTGCTAATACTAGCTATTGTTAGGCCTCATTAATATTCCTGCATTTCCAGATAAAGGCAAAATGAGGGGGGTATAAGGTCTGCAGGGGGTGGGACCACATGTCAGTTATTACTGAATCCCTGGAAAAATACTTATCTTTAAGTAAATATATTTATATCTATCTCTTTTTTTTACACAAATGCTGATCTACAGCAAGAAACTTGCCTGAAAATAATTTAAAATAAAATGCAAATTGTGACATCTACAGTACTAAAATTCTGATGCAGAATAAAAAGTGTAAAAATGTAAACACAATTCAGGGGTATTAGACTAGAAAAGACTCCTAGCAAGGAGAAAGATTTGAAAATCTATTTTTTGTGACTATGTAATAAAGGAGAATTAGAAACTTACTTAGGACTAGAATATAAAATTAAACCACTACCTCAAGTATTCTATAGTACATTATTATGATAAAGATTTTACATTTTATAATAATAATGAAGCCGATATGCAATGGGTTTTAATATTACTGTAAATTAATCTGCAGACATTCAACATCTATCAGGCTGTAATGTAGGTCAGGACTGCAAAGTACTTGATCTATCATTCTGAAAATGACACATTCTACAGCTTAGTGTCAAATCTGAGTTCATCTGCATTTGATGCAGCATTTGGTATTAGTTCCTTGAGAAGATAACTAAAAAATGTTTTCCCTGTAAATTAGTGACATACTTTGCATTTTTGGAACATAAAGAAGAATATCCTATTTTTTTTTATTTTTTTTTATTTTAACAGTCTCGCTCACTTCAACTTCCACATTTGATAAAAGAGTGAAGGACAGTACCATGTTATATCTTAGATTTTTTTCACAAATATTTTAAGTATTCAATGCTGGAATACTTAATGAAAAAATAGGGAACCAATTCTCTACAGCTGGTATATGTCGAGTTGTTTTCACATCTAAAATTCAACTTTATCAGAAATTCAACAGCTAAAGAAAGTTTTAAAGTTACTTTATTTTTAGTTTTCTTCTGATGTTCTCTGAAACCAGAAATCTTGAAGGCTCCCACGCGGCCAAACAAAGCCCAACAAGGAACTGGCTCAGTCACAAAGGTTGTCTGCTGAGACATGGAAGCTGCAGCAATGTGCATTATTGAGAGTGGATGTTCATTAAACAGCCTTTTTATTGTGCCAGTTTAAATGCCTCTTTATGTTCTTTGCCCATTCCCTTATCAATAGAAAAAAAACACACCAGGAACTGCGTAAAGGGGCATTCTTAGAAATGCAGCATACACAAGTCAAGACAGAATCATCCCATATTAGTGAAAGCACAAAAATAAAAGAAATGTGAAAGTTATTAAAGTACAGAGGGATGACAATAATTCTGACAATAATGCTATTTCACATCCCGACACAAACTTTTTAAATTTATATTTATTTACACAGTCACTAAGAATTTACATAGCGAGTGTCATGCACTAAATCTTGAGTTTCAAAGAGAAAACAGGGTGTGGGACCCAAAGCTTGCATGTGTACCAGTCTTTGTTCTATTAAAATGAAAATTACCGACTGCTGAGCTGCAGTCGTATTTGTAAGTCACATTTCCAATCAGTGTTATACTGGATTGCAACTTGTAACAGATATAATTCTCAGATAATTAACTGGAGGAAAGTAAAATGAGAAAATAAACTTCTTATGCTGTATTACACAAACACAAAAAAATGAAAACAAAAAGTAATTAAAATCCCTTACCATATGGCTAAAATGCAAGAAACGTGCACTGTTCATATGATGGCATATGATTTAGGCATGTCTAATTCAATATTATTTCTTTACTTTGATTATTAAGTGGATATTTATTTATGAGATCTAATGTCCTCATTGGATTCCTACTTCAAAGTTTATGGCATTATTATAAAATATTCATTTCCATATAGACTAGCTCTCTATGTGTGTGATAAGTAATGAACATCTTAGTTGTTGATACCATAAAATAATTTTCCTCTTATTCTGGTGTTCCTTCACTATTTTATTTTCTATCATATTATCAGCTACATTATTTTTCTGCTGTATACTTCACCATCTGTGATTTTTTTTCTTTTCACTAGTGACATTGTCAGGTGTAAGCTTCATAGAACACAAATCTGGAGACTCATTTTTGCTTTTATGTTTTCTTTACTCTTGACAATCAAAATGTTTGCTCAAGTAACCAAAAAAGCACATTACATCTTTGCACTCCAAGTCAGATACTGTATTTGCAGGAACTCTTCCAGGTACTCTAAAATAACAATTTCCAATAGTGAAAACAACAAAAGTGACAGCAGAAATTCCCGTACTTCGTTAGACTGATTTAGAAATAACTGTAGTCTCATTGGAAAATAAATCAGTAGCAAACTGGCTAAAACGTAATCCACAAGGATTTGTGTCTTAGCTACATAATACTACATTCTGGTAAATCACTGTGCTCACCCTTGTCTCTGGATGCAAGTAAAGTCAACTCAGGCAATATACAACTAGCACTTACTGGTCTATGAGACTGCCTGGCTCTCTTCCAGTACACAGATCCTTCTGATGCTTTCAAGACTCACACAAGCTTCTCTGCTAGAAAAACATCTACTAGGTTTGAGATTTCATTTTTGTAACATTTTGCAATTGCTCCTGTTCCACCTGACAGGGAATGGAAGTACCACCCATACCCTTGAGGTTCAGCACACAAACAATAATAAAATAAATATATACACTATATATAAATACACCTGTACCTCCTTTTATGAACATAATTTGTTCCCAGAAACCCTTTCGTATAGCAAACGAAAAATTATTTTCCATTATTTCTTATGGGGAAAAATTACAATCTGTTCTGGACCCCAAAAATGTCACCTATACGTCTACATTTTTCACCAAAAATGACAAAAGAAACAATAACTAACATTCATACTGTGGTTTGTGTTTTTAGTAAAAAAAATAACTGCTTACCTAGTTAGACATTATTAATCATACCTAAGTACAGTTCTGTACAGTACCCAATGCACAATTTGTTCTTGGCATCACTCCTATTAAATTTCCATTAAACGAACATTCATATAAATAAGTACAGGTGTATATAATCTATCTTAACTCTTTGGAGCGTCATTCCACAGCTTTTTACAAAATAAAGACATACCTGCTGTAGTACAAAAACTATTCTATTACTCACCATTAACACAAATTCATTTCATTTTGTTACAATAAAATTATTTTATTATTTTGTAATATAGGTTATATACTTTGCTCACAAAAATGATAATGGGAATATTTTGGATTTAAAGAACACAGTTTTGTGTTGACCCAATGGATGTTATGTTTTTTGTTACACAAAATGTCTGAAAGAACTAGCATTTAATAAACCCCATGTGGCACCTTGTTGTAATTTTAGCTTGTTGTGTTTACTACAGTATATATAATATATATATAACTATGACAGTAGAAGGGCAGCCCATAATTCCTAAAACAGTTGGCTCAAAGAAACACTAGAAATATCATTTACCTGTATGACTCCTTATGTGCACTCTCAAGGTTCCATTACTTGCAAACTTCTGGCCGCAGTAGGGGCAAATTTTTTCTTTTTCCCCAGTGTGTGTCTGTAATGTAATGAAAGCAATATTGTGAAGAAAGAGAAGATTAGTCATATTAAATAAACATAAAGACAATGCATTTGAAACAGATTAAGCACACTTTCATCCTACACATTTTTCATTAGGGTACACTTTCACTTTGCTCAGGTACTTATAGTATTATATTTCTTTCGACTGCCACACAAAATAGGCAATTATACAGCAACCCATTCCATGTACAATCATATCCTTGCCTCTTTCTGTCTCTGAAAGCAGCTCAAAAGACACTGCCACAGATCCATCAAGTATTGTCTTGAGAAATGATTATCTCCAGGATTAAATCTAAAGTAATTTGTTGTCTACTTCAGCTGCATAAGAAAATTGTTTTTTCAGCACAGAACCCTTGAAGTGTGAGTTCTGTTTTCTTTTATAATCCTCCTCTTCTAAGAACTTCCTACATAACACACTAGTGACATAGAAAGTGTCTTAATGTTATTAATACTCCAAGCTTTGATTAGGCATAGACTCCAATAAAAAAAGTTATTCAGCAGATACAGTAATGCATGTAGCTGTCTTCTGGTCCAAAAGAGAAGTCACTTTAGTTTAGAAGAAAGTGACCACAAGGGAGCGGAGTCCAGAGCTCTCACTGAATGGGAGATTGGCATAGCCAGCTGTAAAAGCCTCTTCAGAAGATGTTGGAGCCTTTTCAACAGTGAGCAGCTCTGGTGCAGACAGGAAATTTATGACCAATGCACAGAAAAAAAAGGCTTTTGCCTTACCAGGATCTCTTTTACTGTAACTGTTATGTGAACTAATAGAAATAATATTCATTTTTATTATCACAACATATGCACTGTATGTACTGGTGTACATTTTAAGACAAATGCTTACTTCAAATTTAAATTAAATATGTCTAACAGATAAATCCCATGTACATTTTGTCACTGACTTTTTCATTCTATTGGTTAAGAATGTATTAACCTTGATATAAATAATGTTGTTTGCTGGTGATCACATTAAATTCACAGATTTCAACAGAAATACACAATGTGTTAGTTTTGTAATATTTGAGTAGTTTTGTGATCTTATAATGGAGGCTGAACCGTGCATGAAGCAGAAGTGTCTGAACAATAGATGGAACATACAGATCTGAATTCCACGTTTTAATGCAAAAAATACATACTGTAGATGAGAAAGTGGTTTAATATCAATCTGATGTATAAGTAAAAAAAATGCATAAAAATAATATGAACTGCTAGCAGTAGGTATTTCTGAGGAATGGAAGTAAATGAGATCTATTATTTCTATAATTACACTATAGTGAATGAGGAAATGAGTTTAAAATTATAAATTAATACCATATGTGGTTAAAAATAGGCTACTGACATTCATTTAATTATCTCAAGGTTCCTCTCATATGGTGATTCTAAAATGCTTTCAGATAAACTTTACAGCATTTACAGTATATTTGTAGCTACAATACAAAAACATTTTGAATGTACTGTATGTGAATAAAGCAATACAAAACAACAAAGTATTTTTTTCATTATTATATATTAAGAACACTTCTGTTATTTAAAAACTAATGGCAAGGACATATGGGTATTCGCTTAAGTTCCATGCCAGTTTCAACATAGATAAAGAGGAAGGTAAGAGGATCATAGAAAAGGCAGACTGTTGAAAGTAGTTCAGAGTCAACAACTTCTCTCAGTAGAAATATAGGTTATATGTCTAAAACGTCATTGAGTAAACCATGGTTTTAGTATGAAAACTAGTATGAAAACTTACTTCTACTGTAATATCTGACAAAAGTACAAAAGTATTGAGGATCATTTTTATCTTTAACTTGTAAAGCATTTACCCCCTCAGCAGCGATTCCCAAATAGTGTGGTGGTTTTTGGCCACACTCCAAACACCCACTGGCTTCTAAGTGGAGACCACCAAATGCATTTCAGTATAAAACAGAGATGTATTTAAACCCAGAGGGAATGTAAATTCTAATCACCTACAGTACCTCCTTGCAGTAGATGCATTTTTGTATCTAGTGGTCTAAGGAGTTTGTTATAGACAGAACTAAAAAAGACATATGGTTAGAACTTGTGTAAGATAGATAAATCTTCCCTGTACTGTAATAATGAGTATGAGTAACATTTAATTTACATTTGGGAAGTGACATGTTGATGATAATAAATTCCCCAGCGTGAACACTTAAAACTTATTTATAAATGTTAAGTGACAGTTTAATACTTTATATTACAACAATACAGAAATACTGCCCCATGAAGATATTCCTTAATTCATAACCACCATTGGGTGATCTGTTACATGAGTATTTGAAAACAATACACATGTTAAGCAGCTGTAGTTTATTACTTTTTCTTTTTTTAATGGTTGTAAAAATGAAAGCTAAATCACTCGTTCATTTTAACACCATTAAAGGATATACTTTGTTCTGAAGAATGTTATGTGTCTGCTATACTGGAAAACTACAATTGAAACTCATCCATACCATGCTGACACATGAGACAAAGTACTATATAAACGCAGTACATAACACTTGAAAATGTCTTGTTAAGCTCTTCTAATCAAATAATAACATAAAAACTTCCCAAATACAAAACTTTAGAAACAGAATAATATATGTATCTGGAATTACTCAGTCATCATCTTGGGTGTTGGAAAGTGATAAAATAACGTCTGTTTCACACATGCTTAAATATAATTCACAGAAAATACTTTGAATAAAATGCATCAGAAAGGCTGGAAACAGATTTCATTCAAAAGGCAAGAGAAATTAAATAAAACCTGCCATACTACATTATTATTATCCATCCTTCAATTTTCTAGCCACTACATCCAGTTTGGGGTCACAGGGTAGCCAGAGTCTATCCCAGCACACAAGGGGCACAAGGTGGGACAGGACAGGACCCTAAGCGGGATGCCAGTCCATGGCAGGGACACACACACGACACAAATACAGTCACTCTTACACTCACACCAGGGCCAATTTTCCCAGAAGCTAATTAAACAACCAGAATGTTTTTTGGACTGTGGGAGGAAACACGAGCACCTGGAGGGAACCCACATAAACATGGGGAGATCATACAAACTCCACGCAGACAGCACCTCAAGAATTGAACCACTGCACCACTATTCCACCCTCTTATTTCTTCATCTACAGATCTAATTTTTACATAACACTCACAGTACATTATTGTGCATTAACTTAAGGTACTAGTCTTTGTTGAAGCTCACAAAATAGTTTTTAAGCAATTTGTTTTGTTAAGTGCCAAGACTGGAACCAGTTTCAACCATACCTATAATTACACAAGACAACAATGGATTCATATAAACTATGATGAGATATTTTACTTGTTTGGAATTCATTTTTAAAGCAAAATATTTAAATCTTATTTGAAATAGAAGGAAATTGTGTTCATACAATAGCAGTCACTAATCTCTAAACTCTCTGGAAAAACATTACAAAATTTCCATGAATTTGTTAACTGTTTCTTTATGTAAGATGAATGAAAAGGAATAATTAGATACAGCCAAACATCGAAGCATAGAAGGTAAAAAATTATGGACACACATCCATCCATTTTCTAGCTGCTGTATCCAATACAGGGATTGAGGGACATAGGCTATCCTTGCAAGCAACATACGCAAGGCAGGGTAAACACTGTAAGGAACACATCCACTGCAGGGTACATACACACACTTATCCTAGGTACAAATTTGCCAGAAGAGAATTAACCTACCAGTATGTCTTTGGACTGTGGGAGGAAAATGAAGCACCTAGAGAAACTCTACACAAACATGGGAAGAACATACAAGCTCTACTCAGATAGGACCCCAGGAATTGAACCCAGGGCCCCAGTGCTGTGAGGCAGCAATACTAACCACTGTGTCACTTGACACACATACATCTTATCATCTATCTAATCAGTCACTTTTAAGCAGGTTTCAGGTTTTACTTAAGAATAATAAAGTCACACAAGCTTTCTTTTACATAAATTCACGTAAAATCAAACTGAAGATTTACAATTTGAAAATGTTACCTATAATAAATATTACATTTAAGCAAAAGCTGAAAGATTATTTTATATAGATCTTAATGGACTTATTTAATTATACAGTATTTTAAAATAATTTTGTTATAATTTCAACACACTGAAAAGCCCCACAATGGCATATAGGAGGTTTAATTCTTATTGGTGGAGAGGTTTATCGGTCACTGATGTCATCACAAGCCTTGAGGATTCTGGGACGTCACAGCAATCACTTGCTGGGAGATGAAAGTGGCATGGGTGACTGATCACAACCCTTCCCTCTGAATTGCTGAGCTAATTGTTTGTAAAGAGTGTGAGTGTACCAACCTTTATTTAGTACCAGCTGTACAGAAAAAAACCTTAAAGTAACTACGAAGACAATCACTCATTCTTAAATAAGACAACTCACCTTCTTGTGGCTCTTCAGAACAGAGGGAGTCACAAAAGCTTTTTCACACAAATCACACTTATACTTCTTATGGCCATCGTGCACAACCTGTATATGAACATTTAAAGTGTCCTTCCTTTTAAAAGTAGCATCACACTGATCACATTTGAAAGTCCTTTCACCTGTAATGAATGACAATAAAAAGAAACACTACCTCAGTAACTATGAAATTGCTTGACTTATGCTTAAAGAAGAAATCTCTGTAGGATAATAACATTTGATTGCTGGACTGTTATAAAATGTGAATTGTGCAATGCAACAGGAAATCTGAGAGAGCCTTATGTAAGTAATTACACATGAATTATATCTCTATCTTTTGAACCATTAAGAAGCAGAGAATAAACAATTTTAAAGAGAATGAAGACCACTTTCTGCACAATTGCCTTCTTTGAACAGCTATGTTAAAAATTAAATTCAGTCCACATTTCACATCATGTATAGCATTTCAAAATCACGGTTCAATGTATGTGTATTTCGCATTTATAGTATGTGTAGTGCAATTTTACTTTTAATTTAAAATATGGTTTGGATTGACAGAAGGATGGAATACACTTCTGTTAATATTCATCAAATGTGTTACTGGATTATACTGAGGGATTCAAATTCTACCATTTCTTAAGAAACCTAGTTTAAATTTCATTCTTTACTATTAGGAAAATTACACTGGGTGAATTCCACTGTTATTCCATAGATATCTACAGTATTTCCAGTCTTCAAAACCCAGGAAATAATTTGCATTTACTTATTAAATGTTGCATTCTTAAAAAAATCCAAATGATTAAATGTTGAAAGTAGTCTTCTCTACTTGCTTCATATACTTGCCATATATTCACAGTAATTAAGTTGACAATTTTAATGAAACTTTTCCCTAAGTATGCAGTCAACTAAAATGTGCTGTGAGAATATGGATGTTTATGTTAATAATATTTACAGTTTCATGGTTTTTATAATACAGTTTTATAATAAAAATAGGTATAGTAGTATCTTCTTTTCATGCACTATGCAAACCAGGTACTTTTAAAAGGTAATTGTAAGAAACGTTTTTACTGCATTTTTACTGAATTTTACTTTGATCAGCAAGGAACAGTTTTTAATTTCCCTAAAATCATTTTATGTCACTATGAATTATGATCTAAAACTGAATAAATTGTTTTCTCAATAATGTACTTCATTGCTGCAGTGTTACCTAACAGATGTAAAAAAAATCAGGTCTTTTCTGGGATGAATTCTATTTTTCCTATCTATATTAAACATTCAAGTAAATTCCTAGTCCTGGTTGCAAGGCAATATTATACAAAGACTGTGCTAATTTAAAATGTTCTGCTTAGTAGTCCCCCTAGATTTATCATTCAAACTAGAAATATGGAAGGAAATACCAGCTGAGCTGGACATCATTTTGGATTATCATTTTGAGACAGAAGCCCCTCTTGTTTTTAGATTAGGAAATAAAGTATTGGTAGTATACAACTCCTAGAAAACATTAATCGTTTTTGATTGAGATTCTTCTCATAATGCCTTAGCTAATTTAAAGAACTCTGGTTTAGCTCTACTTTTTTGTCCCTTATAATATTCTATGTATTTTATGACTACTCTGGCATTCGCTCTTCACCTGAAACTTTGTGTACCTTCAATCTGTGACTTACTATTGTGTATCAACAGGTGCCTTTGCAGGGAGAAGGGTGTCCTGAATAAAGCCTTGCATTCGTCACACTGGAATGGTCTCTCTTCCGAATGAGTCTGGAGATGAAAAGATTCAGATCATGGGAAGCAACAGCAGGCAATCTCCCTCATTATCCAAACCCTTTAAGTGGATTCAGATAGCTCTTCTAATTGAGATGGTGCAGTGATAATTATGCATCCCTCTTTAATGCAGTAAATTCAATCTTCTTATAGCTGTTTGGGATTTATCCAGGACTTCATGAGAGGAGGAGGAAAAACAGGAATTAGCAGGCAGCATCAAATAACAAATAACAGAGTTCTAATTGTAGAGTGCTTCTATGTCTTGTGTTTTTATCTCTCCAATCCATCAGCTGGTCTTCCCAATTAGCAGAGAAAAGATAACAGGATTGTGAGTCCTGAATTTAAAGGAGCTTTGTATATCTTACAATGCTACTAATTTAAACTACTTATTCATCTTGTGTTTTTTTAATTCCTCCTAATACTCCTGATGTGTTGATGTGTAAACACTGCAAATCTGATAAGGGAAAATAACTTCAGTACTGGTGGAAAGCTTCAGATTTCTTACAGCTAAGTATTCACAAATCACTATGTGTACACAGAAGTCCAAGGACTGTCTGCATTAGCAGTATAGGAACAGACTCAAAAACATGTAGTACTAAATTACCCACATTTACAGGACACATTACTTTATTTGTTCAAAGCTTGCACTTCAAATATACATAGTAGCTACTGTAAGAAATGTTGTATAAATTAAAAAAACGAAATTATTTTGAGACTGATATCTCTTCATTGTGATCCCTTTTGTGGAGTTTGGTCCCATGCCATTTTGGCACAACACTAACACACACAAACACAGAATGTAAATGGTGATATAAACATAGCACATACTCCAGATGAAAGAAAAAAACTGATAATTTCACTGTACTGTGAGATTAATTACAACTATTTTCCTTTGATTTATTACTTTAAGCATGGGATGGTGCAGAGATCCCATGTCAAATCCCATATGGCACTCAACATGAGCCAAACTGCAACAATCTTGTAAGTATCTTGTAATGCATTTACCAGCAATGGGAGAAAAGTTTTGGGTCTGGGGAGGATACTGGCCAAGTGATTTTTTACAGTCTAATAATTTCTGAGCTCCAGTTAAAGAGGTGAGGTCTGGTGGTTGAAAGTATAACCTTAGGTCACATCTAATGACAGGCATACAGAAATTAAGCCAGGCAGGTTGGGGCCACTTTCTCAGGATCCAGTTTCTTCTAAAATGCTCAGAACTTTTATAAGCATATGTAGAGGTTTCAGAAGATGTACTGTACTTTAAATGTAGCTCAATTAAGGGGATAGTAACACTAAAGTCTGAAACCTCTGAACAATAGGACTCTTCTTTGGAAGATAAGGAACATATTTTATAACTATTATACATGTGAACATGTTAATGATTAAACATTACACATTGCTTTACATCTATGACAACAGCTGGTCAATGTCATGATTAAAATTATATATAAACAAGAATCTACAATGTTACTTCTACTATATGTTTTTCACTCACAAAGATCATAGTAAAATACAAAAAAAGATCATGGTACATGGCACAGTTGTTTTTCAATGAAATGAGAATGATTAAAGATTAGTTTTCTTCCAAATAAACTAAACTAAATAATCACACTGTAAATATTAAATATTTTTTTCTTTATTTTATTTTATAATACTTCACTTGAATACTCTCTTTTGTACAACAGAAAAAATGCATAACAATATAGAATAAGGAAAGCTGTATGTAAGGTAATTTACTATTTTCATCTCAGTGATTGACAAGAACATCGAGTCAAACACTCTATTTGGTATAAAAAGTAAATAATAGATATATAACCTGAGTTATCACACCAGTTTCATACCAAATTCCTTACATTTGCTTTTGGACATAGAAACATGACACAAGCTGCTATTGTACACATAAACCTGAAACTGTCTTGTGTTTTGGTTAGACACGTGACCTTAATGATGAGTTTGCTGGTACCAAAAAGCTGGATATAGATTAAATACTGGTAGGTATCTTGGGTAATACAAGACCATGCTCAGGGAGACCTCACACAAGAAATACTACATCACTCATCATATTTTCTTATACTTTAATCATCAAATTGTTTTCCAATCTCTTGATTTTTTAACCCAAAAGTGTGAACCCCTGACTCACCTTCTTGTGATTTTTGTACACATTTCTATGTGCAAACTCCTTCCCACAGAGCTTGCACTTATAGGGCTTGTCCTCACTGTGGATGATTTTGTGAGCTGTCACTTGGTCAAGGCGTTTGAAGGATCTGCTGCAGACCTCACAGGTGTAGGGGCGTTTCTCTGCCAAAGAAGGAGAAGGGGACATTTAATCTTCTTTTACACTACAGGACAGATGAAAGGAGGAGAATCTGCTCCTCCGAGAGATGACTGCAATTAAGTCAGTGCAATTTAGTTCAGACTAATTAAACAGGCATCTAATGCCCTTCATTTTCGACCATTAAATCACTTCTTAAAAGATGAATGCTTGTTTATCTCAAGGAAATTGGTAGGCTCATCAAATCCTCTTTCCCAAATGCTAAATACAGATTAATTGCCTTACTTAAAAAAAGACTGACTTCAAAGAGAATGGACATCACCTAAAAATACTGGAGAATCTAGGAGAGGACACATCATGTTCTGAAATAGTCATATACAGTGTAATAACTCTCACCTCTTCTACCTGTACATAATTTGGTAGCAGATTTATCCAACTTTATCACTGCAAGCCTGAATGTAACCCTACCTGAATGAGTAATCATGTGCCGTTTAAGCTGGTTAGTTGAAATGAACTTCTTGTCACATGCTGGGCAGTCAAAGACCTCATGAACCTATGGAAGTAGAGATAAACAGTTACATTACAATTACACAGTCCTTAAAAATAATAATAAAAAAAAACAACAGATCAAACAAATAGAGCTTCCAACTGCTCTTGTGCTGAGCTTTCAAGACATTTTTGCTTGGTGTAAAGATAACATTGAAAACCCTAGTGGAAATTACATATTTTATAATCTCTTAATATATTAAATTACATGTGAAAGAAAAGCCCCTGCCTTTCATAGCAGTGAAAAAATACATTAGCAGAACTGTGTGTGGGGAAGAGATCTGCGCTGTGTGTGATGTTAATAAAAGGGAAAAGGAAATCTAATTTAGCTTACCAAAAAGTTTCAATAACTGTTTCCCAATATATTTCCACCCCTATTTCCTACATGAAATAAACTGTCTCTTATAGTTTAATGTGAATACAGAGAAATGACTCAGACATATAGGACATGAAATTAAAACCTTTATAAAGAAAAGTATCAATAAAACATAAAGACATTTACCACTGCAATATGAAATGAGAGAATTTCATTAAGACTCCTTAGGCCACTATCGGGATCTGTGATGGCTAAAAAATGTACACTCCCATTTCCTCATCTTGATGTTTAATGAATAAATCCATAATTTAAAAGAAAGAGTAAAAAAATAATAGGCTCAACAGAATTTTACATTCACAATTTCCATAATTCATAATAAATCAGAAGTTAAAAAGATGGCTTAAAATGACTCAATTAATGCTGTAAATGTCCATATCTGGACACTTTGATTGAAGGATTATTAATTCTACAGTGTAAAATTTACTCTACAATATTCTAGCAGATTGACTGAAGACTGAAACTGAAACTGAAGGCTGAAAACTGAAAAAAAATCACATACAGTAACAGAAACTGATTAACAACTAAAGATGTATTATTTTGCACATAAGCACTAGTTTTGATGCTAAGGGAACACAAAGTGTGATGACAGGTTCCCTTGAAATATATCTCCTTTTCCCCTAAGCCATCCCTGACCCCAGAACTGAAAAAGACTTGAATTCACAAAAAAATAAAAAATATGTAAGAAATTGTTAATACCTCTGTGAATCCATAGCAAAAGATATTTGTATATCACAGCCTTAGCTTCAAACACTACTTTCCTACTAACACATTTTACCAGAGCTTTAAAGATGAAACCAGTGTCATTACTATAATTAGCAGATTAAAAACTGTGGTTTCCCATGAAACTTTTAAGGGGATTATTCAATAAGGATTTTTTTTTGCATTTAATTTCAAAGGAAATATTCCAAATTGGTAACGGTGATGGTAAATCAGATTTATTGTATGCCTCACAAGAACACCCACTGTGCAAGTAATTGATCTCCACTGGGGAGAGGCATCATCTCTTCCATTTTAAGCAAGAGAAAAACAACATATTCAGACATGTATTATTTAAATAAATGAACTGTGTGTTTTAACTGCTAATCTGAAATTAGGTGAAGTCATAATTAACAATATTTTTGAGAGTTTTTCAATAAAGAACAGCGTTTTAAAAACTATAAACATCAAAAAGCAATTCCACACCTAGCAAGAATAAAATATATGAGACACCTTTGCATACAAACCTTCCAATCAACACTTTTGATCAAGTTGCTTTGTGGAAAAAAACAACAACAACAGAGGTCCAATTAAACTAACACCGCTCCTTTAAGGAAAATTCTACTTCCTTTCTGTTCAATTTCCAAATAAAATTTGTACTTTCTAAGTAAGGCTAATTGTAACATTTTTATTTACAAATAAATTGGTGGCATCAGGATTGTGATGGAGCTGTAAAAAACTGCAGCCTGTTTGTGAAGTTTTGAATTTCACAGCAAAATCTTCAGGGAATTCGCAGAAATGTGTTTGAGAAATTTCTTACTAGAATGTGTCACACAACATGAGAAAATGTAAAAAAAACATTTTGGTTTTAATTTCCAATGGTAGTTCAGAACGATTTTCCATCCCATAGCCTCATTTGAAAAGAGTGTACCTAAAAGCCAAGGTATGTTTACAAAGTTTTACATAACAAATTAACATCTGAGACAGACTGGACCACCTAACATGTTACATTCACAATATTAAAATAGACATAAAACATAGAACCAGTAACATTATACCATTTTAAACTGTTAAAATGTTACAATTTTCAAACAAAGAGATTTGTTATAATCATCTGCTGTTCAAAAAACACATTACACACATCAAATACACATAAACTACTCTAATCTACTCTACTCTCAAATTTGCTTCCTCTTTTAAAAGGAATATCAAAGGGCAAGAGTATATTTTTTGTGTCTGGTCAGTGGTTCCAGAGTCATGACATCCTGACCTAAGTGTAAGCAGATCATACTGCGAGACAGCCCTATCCACCTGACCTTTCGATGCTCCTGCAGGTTCACAGCTGAAGAACACTTCTTATTGCAAATGGAGCACATCAGTTTCTTGCGAGCATTTCCTACGAAAGAAACAAAACACCATCAGTGATTCTGACCAGGAAAAGTAGAAGTGACCCCCCAAAACTGGCAGCGGGTGTGTGGCTCTTCACAGGTCAGTCCACACAAGTAAGGCTGTGCGTTTCAAGCTCTCTCTGAAGGTGTTAAATTTCTGATGTGCTCAGCAGGGGTGCAATAATTTTAGAAACTTTCAATTTGGGCCATTTTGACAAATAAAATAACATATTACCACTACAGAATGTTTTACAAAATCTAATGGCATTGTTTTTCAATGACAACAACATAGAGAGTCAATCAAACATACATACTGTATGTTATTATTTTACAGCTAGCCAATACTTCCAGGAGACTTATTTTGGAGTGGAGCAGATACGACAGAAACACTGAATGCATGCACCGAAGAGTTTAAGAACAGAGACGGGCAGTTCTGTTGTTTTTTATCCAACAAGCTTACTGTACTCTTTAATCTCTATCCACGCATTATCATTAAAAAGTATTAAACTATTAAACTGCAATTGAATTAATTCACTGGACTACCTAGTTCACAATAAATAAGATACATTAATTACATTATTTTTCATTATTTTATTAATAAAAAACAACTATAGTATGGTTATAAATATTACTCTTAGTAAAAAATAGTGGTACCCAATGGTAGATAATATTTTGAAATAAAGGGGGAATATATTACTTAAAAATGTTATAAAAATGTACTGTTTATACTGGATTATACAAATTTATAATATAAACCAAGACTGTAAACAGTTTTTTGTATACACATTTACCAAAGAAAACAAAGAACATGCTTGGCAGTTAAAAATTTGGCTTTCATTTTTGCAGTTCAAAACATCTCATATGCTTAGGCAGCTGTGGAATTTTAGCAAACAATTTTTACTCCATGACTAAAAAACAATTTGCTTTGATCAGTTACAAAATTTCCAGAAAAATCACTTGTAGCTAAAAATTGCATTAATGGAAAATCTAGAAATATTAACCATTTCAGTCACAATTTAAAATGCATTAGCTGAGCAATAATATTGTAAACTTTCATGCCTCTAAAGCACATAAAAGTTGACATTGCCTCTCATTAGGAATTGCTCTTGACAGTGTAACCCAGTGATTCACAATACAACCAGACATGAGTACTCTGTTCACTGTTGAGTGCAAGGGGCTATTAATCTGAATACCCATGAAAAATTATATGGTAGGTCAAAGGTCAATTACCAGATGTATTTCCTTTCCTTTTCACAGTTGGATTAAAAAGTGACATCTAATTAACTCTGTCTATATCCAATGGTTTCAAGTTCATTTTAATAGACTATAAAACTTATTTTATTACAGGGCACAATTATTGCAGACTCTCATGCTTTATTTATGTCCAAATGTTCCTGTGACATACATCTGTAGATGTTTCAAATATTTTTTTCTCCATTATATTCCTCTAAAGGAGCCAGGACATGAGTATATGAGATGTGATGTGAAGGGAGAAAAAGAAAAATACACCTCAAATGAACCCTGAAGCATACCATACAAAAAGTTTTTTCTTGCTAGTCCAAAGAAGAAAGCATCCTTTTACATAGCACAGTGTATTGGAAAAAGTAGAGTTAACAAGCACTGAACAAAATTCAAACATAAGTTTATCTTACATGTAAATTACAATGTTCAACAATGTGCCTTATCTTAAGAGTAAATCACTATGTCTCTGATTCATTCACGCACAAACCAAATAAGACACTGTATACACCTCAAGACAGTGAAATTTAGGAAACAGTAACTATGTAATGTAGAACATTTTTTAACAATGGTCATAGCCTTTCTGCTCAGTTTCAGAAGGACCAGTATTAATATTGCAGGGCTAACACCAGATCGAGTAAATTAAACTAAAGTCTGAAATGTACTTCATGTGATTCTTGGTTCTTTTTTGAACATGTTGTGTCCATTTTAATAAAGCGACTTTAGTAAATCACACTTCTGAAAGGCTGATTAACAGAAAGTACACGGGGAAGCAAATCAGCATTGCACATAGCTAAAAAAACTCTTACCTTCAAATAAGACTTCTGAAATCTAAAAGAGGGGAAGTGAAATAGGAAATTGAATTAGAGTTTAACTGACTGAAGGTCTTACGTCTTGTGATGTGTTAGCTTTATGTGACACATTTTGTCTTACCCTGTAAACTTTGTGGAAATCAGCTTTCAGAAACATTGAAGAAGCTCTTTTTACTAGAATTCTAAGACTGATAAAAATAAGAGAATCACAAATACTAAAGTATACAAAAAATGGCAAACAAGATATAAACCGGGACACATTCTAAAACTAACAACCTTACAAATACTGTTTTATAACATGCAAGCTGTCTACTGCTCAGACAAAATGATTCATGGTTGTTACAAAAGTTGTGTTACTACAATTAAAATGATTCAGGATGGGTTCATATCACTTATTCTAAAAACAGTCATTCATTAAATCTCAATGTTCATAGAGGCACAGATTTTTCACTGCATATGGCCATTTTGGTATAAAGCTTTATACAATGTATAATCACTATAAAGAATACATCCAATATTAAAGGAATATGTATATATAATTTTGATATATTCATAGCAAAATCAAATGCCATATTTTCACTGCTAAGATATTTTGTCACCAGCAGTATTTTCCAGTTTGAACTTTTTACATTCTCAAAAATTTCCAGAAAAAAAGGTTTTAAGTATCTTGGGATGAAGTAATTTAGATAAGGTAACACCGTAGGCAAGGTACAGAGCAAGATCAATATGGTATAAGAAGCTTTTAACTACGCACTTTGTGCAAGTGTGCCTAGCTTCTGTACCTCCTTGGCCGATTAACTGGCTCAATTGAAAGCTTAAATTCACATCTGCTTCTTGTTTCTTTAATACTAAATACCATCTTTTAATGACTAAAATTGCCAACACATATTACAGGCATCACAAATATCAAGCTGTACATACAAATAAACATCAAATTATCCGTAGCAATAATAAGGGTGACTTAAAAGATAAGACTGATATATTGTTGTAGTTTCTAAGTAACAACTCACAAAGTAAGCTTAATGAATCATCCAGCCTTTGGTCCTGTCACAATTTCTGTGGCCTTTTCCTTTGTTAACTAGCCAAGTTCTCTGTTATCCATCGCTTACAATAATGAAGTGTAATTTAATGACTGTATAACGTGTTATCAAACTGCAAAATCTGCACCAGGACTCCTGCTAGATGTGTGGTAGCCCAGCTGCCCCCATGCAACCTATGAAGGAAACATGTTTTGCTCAAATGGGGTGGTTTGCAGTAGAGCCATTCTGATCTGAGTGTTAAAAGTAACAAGCTGCGAAACTGACCGTGATAAGAATAAGGCAGTCTCAGAGGAGTCACTAACCAAGGCTGCACATTGTTACAGCATCTGAGCCAAACATATGGGCCAAACAGTTTTCACCTGAAAGACTCCTCTGATCCTCTGGTCAAAACAAGCACAACATTTGTTGATCAAACATTTTTTACTGATAACCATAGGATATTTAATAAATTCCCGTGTGCTGCAAATAATTAATGATGCCATGCAAGGGTGTCCCAAGAAACATATAATGTAACTGTAACTATGTAATATACAGTACCAGATTAAAAAAAACATAACATGAACACGGTACAGTAATTGCTAAAAGTAGGTCTATTCTCTACTTAATTAAAGAGTGACATTTAATTAATCAAGGTCAAGAGCTACTGTCATCTCACATGATATAATGATATGCAATATGCCTCTGATTGTTTTCTCTTAAAATAAGCGTAATTTTGAATTTATACCTTATGAGTTATTTGAATTAAAAAAACTGTCAAATCACCCTGTCATTATATGAAATAAAAAAAACTAATTGCAGAATAAGTTTATACTACAATGTAATACAATGTAATACATGCATGTGTGTTGCATGTGATAAATAATGTGGTATAAAATTTAACTACAAACTAGTATAACATTAGTATATATTGTATAATAATCACGCAAAAAGTGTACAACACAAAATATATCAAGATATGCAAACATTCCTGCTCTGTCCCCTTGATGTTATTCTTAAAATATCATTTGGCAGCATCTTGCGCAATTCAAAGGCACAGAAAAGTCACAAGTTTTTATGGCAGAGAACTAGTTTTAAAATGAAACTGAGGTCCTCCTACAGGTTAGGATTGTCATAAAAGTTCATATTTTGTGGTTGTAATCTAAATCTACCTAAGAAGAAATTAAAGTGTTTGGCTCAAATGAAATGTTCCAGCAGCATGAAAAAACACAAAACACAAAACCTGTAGAAAAGCTCCCTAATTTCCAAAATCAGTCACATCAAATGTTTAATGTGACTATGATTTTGACACCGGTTGTGACCCAAGACTATTAAAAAGATGGGTACATAATTACCTGTGTGAACGTTCCCTTTGTGTTTCTTCAAGGCATCTTTACTCTTGAACCTCTTTCCACAGCTTTCAGCTTTACATATAAACCTGGCATCACCTTTACACGCTTCCTTATGCTGCTCAAAGCTAGAAATTCAAGGAACAAAGACCAATATAAATAGTTACAACACACCCATAATTAATTCACATGAGGGAACCTGCAAAATTAAAAATGAACAGAGACTCTAAAATACAGTTACCCTCATGCCTTTGGTAAATTGAGAAAATTGAGCTTTTGAAGATTCTTGCATTAGCTAGCAGGGCAGGCAACTAGTCTGGAAAGCAGACATGCATATCGACAGTCCAATAAAGCATCTCAGTTAAAACCTTGACTCGGAGCTGAAGGTGCTATTGCACAGCGAGCACTGGTGGGATCTTGAGGTGTCTCCTGGACTGACATTTTCTGTGCAATGAAGAACACTAGAAAGACACAAACAATCGGGTCAGAAAAAGACACCTGGGTCCTGATGTGTATTCTACACCTTTAATACAAATATACAGTGTGGTAAAAATGCAAAAATACATACCACCTTAAGGTGTTACAGTTTAACATATTGAGACATATGTGAGCTCCACCAACTCCTAAGAGTAGATACTGTAAAACTCAACTCATTTGACAATTAACAAAAATAATCTACTTTGTCATTATTTAAAAAGTTGAGCTAGCATTCAATATATCTGTGTGAAAAGTAAGTGTAGCACTTGATTCCGTAACTTGTGGAACCCTGTTTAGCAGCAATAACTTAAGTTTAATATTTCTTGGGGCAGTTGATTAGTCTTTCACATCAGTTGGAAGGAATTCTGGCTCATTCTTCCCTAACAGAACTGCTTCAACTGATGCAGTTGATGTTTGAGGGCTTTCTTGTATGCACAACTGTCTTTAGGTCCCAACACAGCATTTCTATGGGGTTTAAGAATTCGGTTCAGCAATTCCAAAATTCTGAATTTGTTCTTTGTGAGACTGTCTTGCTTTTGTGTTTTGCAGCATTGTCCTGTTGCATGATTCATTTTCGGTTCAGCTTTAGCTGTCGGACAGATGGTCTCGCATTTTCCCCTAGAATGCTCTGGTATAGGGTGGTGCAATTCATAGCAAGCTCACTAATAGCAAGGCATCCAGGCTCCGAGGCAGAAAAGCAGGCCCAAACCATAATTGTGCCTGATGGTTGGTATAACCTGAACAACCAAAGGCAGTGTTTGGTTTTCACCAAATATGACATTTTGTCCTATGGCCAGACGGCTCCATTTTTGAATTACTGTATACTGTATGTCCCAAGCATGTTGTTCCAAGAGTCTTCTTTTTCACTAAAGTACTGTTTTGAAAACGTAAGCCATATAGCAATGTTCTTCTTGGAGAGCAGGGGTCTCCTCCTGGCTACCCTTTCATGAAAGCTACTGTTTTTCAATCTTTTCCTGAATCCTGGATTTAACCTTGGTTTTCTAGTTTTCTTGGGGCATCATACAATCAGATCATAGAAATAATTTGGGAGGACAGCCACTCCTGGGAAGATTCGCAAAGGTCTTGAATTTTCTCCATTTATAGATATTTGTTTTACTGTGGAATGATGGACTTCATATTGTTGTGTAACCCTTCTCAGGCTGATAAGCAGCAACAATTCTTTCTCTAAGACTGTCACAGATTTTTTTTGATTTGGGCATGATGTGTTACAACAAACCTGAGTGCTTAAGATCAAACTGACAAAGTGTCTGATTTATATACAGGTGGAATCACTTCCTGATGGTCATCTAATCTTTTGCACATGTTTTGGTGCACCTGATTACACACATCCCTTTAACTAAGATGGTAGAACTAAGGGTGTACTTTTTCACACAAAAATATTGAAGACTAGTTTACATTTTTTTAAAATAATTCATGACAAAGTAGAATTTTTGAGTTATTTGTCAAATTATGTTAGCTTGGTGAGTACTAGGTGAGAGTCAAATGTGTCTCAATATGTTAAAGCATTAAATTATAAGGGGGTGTACTTTTTCATTACACTGTAGTTATGAAGAACAATATAAAATTATACATACGTCTATTTTGGATACACAGAATAAACTTCAAAATAAAGTTATAAAATGAGTCTTCATAAATGCTTCCATTAACAAATGCCAATGATATGTCATGTCATTGCCAAACAGCGTTATACCATATGGTGTCACGGGAAACTGTAGCCTACCCAGCAAGCAACGAGGGCAAGGCAGAGCACCAGTCCATCACAGGGCAAGTGCAAGCCAATCATACATGGGGACAATATGGAGCCCACAGTAAAGGCCCGGACACCGGGATAACTCCCAACTCTTATCGAGAAATGCCAGGGGATCTATAATGACCGCTGAGATTCAGGACCTCGGTTTAACGTCTCATCCGAAAGATAGCACCCACTACACCAGGGCATTAGGACCCATGCAGACCACAGGGTGGGCATCCCCCACTAGTCTCAATTATACCACTTCCAGCAGCAACCATAGCTTTCCATAGCATCCAGGTACTGACCAGGCTCAACCCTGCTGAGCTTCAGTGGGCAGCCAATTGAGAGCTGCAGGGACTGATGCGTATATTCAGATAATATAAATAAGTCATTTATACAATCTCCCCTCATCAACTGTAGGGGGGTTACATTCCAGAAAAATCCTGAGGTTGGCAATGAGAGATACAAAAACTTGAATTATAATTCACATATAAAAGTAATAAAACAGCACAGATCTTAAAACAGCAAAATAACTGAATTTACTTAGGAGAGGACTGAAATTAAGTGTTAATGTTAAAACTGTACTGTAACTGAACACCTAGTTGGGTGGACTCATGGTACAAAAGTTTTCACAGGAAGAACCATGGATGAGCAAGCATTTTCCCCTGTTTGAAAAGTGATATTTAATACAGAATTTATGAATGAGAGAGTTCAGTGGTCAGCAGCCTTGCAGTTGGCAAGGAAGGGCTGTATACAGGTACTGTACATTCTGATTTAAAAAGTTGTGCGCAGCCTCCGACTTGTTTCACAGTGTAAAGAGTGCATACCTGCCTGTAACAATGTTCACTGTGGGTATGTAAGGTATGTGAATTAAGGTATCTTCAAGCTTTTCTGCTATATAGAACAAAAGGTCATATAAGTAGATACCCATTGTAGCGGCGAGGCTTATTAATAAGGCAGAATTAAGTGTTTCTGAGCTTTCCCAAAT